CTATTGCTTCCTTGATCCATCTTTTGTATTTTTGTTGTTCGGTGGTTATGATCCGTGTGCTGTCCCAGTCCATTATATGGTTTTCTCTTAAGCAATGATCTGTTACGGCTGACTTTTTTATTGTGCTTTCTGCTTCTTCTTTTGCTGCTCTTGTGTGTTTACGATTTGCCTCTTTCTCGCACTCCTTTCTATGTTCTATTGTTCGTGTGTTGAGTTGGCGTCCGGTTTCTCCTATGTATGCTTTATTGCATATTTTGCATGGGATTTCGTAGATGACTCCACATTTAAGTCCAGCTGGTATTTTGTCTTTTGGGTGCACAAGTCTGTTTCTAACTGTTGTGTATGGCTTTGTTGGTGTGTTTATGTTGTGTTTTTTCGTTGTTGCTCTTATTTTTTCTGTTATGCCTCTGATGTATGGTAGGGTTATCACTGGTTTTGGTTCTTGTCTTTCTGGGTTTCTGGTTCTTTGCTTAAGTTGTTCTTTGCTTTCTGTTTTTGTTTGTTGTTTTCCTTTGTTTATTGCCCATGTCGGGTATGCGCAGGTCTTTAAAGCGTGTTGTATGTGTTTGTCTTCTTGTTTACGGTCTCTCTCTTCTGTTATCATGTTTGCTCGGTGATATAATGTTCTGATTACTGACATGTTGTGTATGGTGGGGTGTTCTGATGTCCATAATAGATATTGGTCTGTGTGTGTTGGTTTCCTGTATGTGTTTATGTTTAGGGTCCCGTCGGTCTGCCTGGTGATTTTCACATCCATAAATGCTATGCTGCCTTCTGTTTCTAACTCATAAGTGAACTTTATGTTGCCCGTGTCGTCAATGTTGTTTAAATGTTGTGTTAGTGTTTCTGTTTGTCCTTTTGGTGTGATTTCCAGTATGTCGTCTACGTAGCGTTTCCATAGTTTTATTTTGCAGTTTGGGGGGGCGGTGGCTATGGCTTTTTGTTCCAGGTCTTCCATGAAAAACTCGCACAGGGTGGCTGATAACGGGTTACCCATGGCGAAGCCTTCCAGTTGTTTGTATATTGTGTTATCGTATGTGAAGTAAGTGGAGTTAGCTACCAGTCCTATCAGTTGTGCTATGTCATCTGCTGTGAGGTTTGTCCTTTTATGTAAAGTTTTGTCTTGTCTGATTCTGTTAACTACTATGTCTATGGTTTTTTGGGTTGGTGTTTTTGTGAACAGAGATGTGACGTCATGTGAGATGAGTATGTCGTTGTCTTCTATTGTAATTTCCTTTAGTTCTTTTGCCAATTCTATACTATTTTTGCAGTGTTGGTCTGTGTTTCCTAATAACGGGCTGATGATTCTGCTGATATCTTTTGCCATGTTGTATGTTGGTGTACCTATGCTGTCAACTATTGGTCTAAGTGGGGTGTTTTGTTTATGTATTTTTGGTGTTCCATATATTCTTGGTGTTATGTTTGCTGTGGGAATCCATGTGTGTCTTTCTTTCACTTTTATGAACTCTTGTTCCTGTTTTTCCATCATGTGTCCTTTAATTAGTTCCTCCATTTGTTTATCAAGTTTGTAATTCCTTTTCAAGTCCAGGTGTCCTCTTTCCAGTTCGTCCTCCACACGCCTCTGTTTGGTTATGACGTTCCTTCTCCTCTCCTTGAGCAGTGCTCTCTGTGCTCTTTCTATTATATTTTGTGCTGTCTGGGTCCGGATCGATGTTTTCAGCTGTAGGCTTGTGGGTGTGATGTTTTCGTCCCGGCATCTTAAACAGAAGTGAAGGTGGTTTCTTAGACGTGCGCGTTTCTGGTGTAATCGCTCCAAACGGCGGAAGTCCTTCGTTCCTTGTTGTCCGTATTTCTCTTTGAACATCTTAGGTGTGTTCTTGCTGTGTCTTTGTAAATCCATGCTTTCGTTCTTTTTTAAACACAGAAACAGTTTTGTTTACCTGTTTGTCGTTACGTTTCGCCGACGGCTGCCGGCTTCTTCAGGCTGACGCTGATGGTGGCGCGTCACTTCCTTCTCCGTTTATCTGCGGGCAGCAGAGGACGTTGTCGCCCTCTACTGCCCTGTTCATGTGGGACCATGAACAGGGACGACGGAGTTTACACGCTGGACCGCGCATGGGACTGCATCGTCGGAGAGGGGAGAGCGAGCAGTAGAGGGCGACAACGTCCTCTGCTGCCCGCAGATAAACGGAGAAGGAAGTGACGCGCCACCATCAGCGTCAGCCTGAAGAAGCCGGCAGCCGTCGGCGAAACTGTAGCTACAAACAGGTAAACAAAACTGTTTCTGTGTTTAAAAAAGAACGAAAGAATGTGTTTACACTAGCCGACAGCATGGATGCCCTCAGAGCTGCGCTCGCTTTATCAATTGTCCAAGCGCTTTCTGCTTGTTTGTTTTTGCAAGCAGAATTACTGCTCCTTGCAGAAGACCACAGACGAAGGACGAGGTTAAGAACGGGGGAAGTACTGCCGCCTACAGGTCTGGCATGTCCTGAACAACGTATTTATCCGGGTACGTGTGGACAGAGTTTTTTTAAAATGAGGTGGTGTGGATGCAAGTTTTTGGAGGGGCGGATATTCGTTTAAAAAAAAAACCCGGCTACGTGTGGACTAGGCCTTAGAGACTCTGTTTTCTAGTATCGAACTGTGATTTCCAATACTGGGGTTTATGATTAAATGTTTAGTGCCACCCGTTTTGAGAATCTCCAATCCTCAGTTTAGTTTGTCTTTGTGTTTTACCTTTGAGGATTTTTAGTTGTGGAGATTTCTCGCTCTAGTTTTGATAACTGTGGGTCTTTTGGTTTTTGGCTTAGGTTTATTCTTTTAGTTCTTTTGAGGTTGGTTTAGTTTTGAATCGGCGTGTTTCCCTTATGGTCTCCTCTCTCTGGTTAAACCAGAGAGAGTCGCTTTAAGTTGGTTATTATTTTTGCTTGCTCCCTGTTTTAGCAGAGGGAGTTTATTTAGTTATTATATACCCTTGATCCATCCTTTTGTTAATAAACCTTTTTGAATTGCCAGTTGTTTACCTCCTTCCATTCATTCTCCACCATCATAACCAGACACCATCCCTCTGTATTCATCCCTTTTATTTAACATTATCTTATTTTTCTCTGTGTTCTCCCCTCACCACTCCTGGATGCCAGAGGGGACACAACAATTAGCATTAGCAACTCTGCAAAATGACAATTTCATTGACAAATTTATTATTTTTTTCCGTGCTGAATGACTAAAACCAAACATTCACATCAATAAAGACTAATTTATGATGAATATTAACTGATATTTTTGTTAATATGAGACAACAAAAATTGACAGAAACAAAAATTTAGTCAGACAACAGAAAAGATGCAACACCGAAAAAACGAACCAATCAGCAAATGGAACAGGGTGGACTCATGAGAAAAGAACCAATCAGAGTCCAGAGCCGGCCACGATTTGAGCAAGCTACCAGTAACCAGACATCATATATTGATGTTTATGCTGGTAAAAGATGTGTCTAAAGGGAAAGCATGTCCATGGCTGGGAGTAAAAGCAGTAGATGCAACTATCTGAGAATTTTTTGCGTGGTGAGTACACATCCAAGCTTTCCCCTGGTTTTAAGTGTTTCGGTGTTGTTTAGCAGCTAGCGGGGTGAGAGAGGGGGCGCTGGAGCGCAGCTCAGTCAACCGAACCATGGAGCAGCACATATGTTGTCAAATCGTTTTTATTTTTGTGGTTATAACAGCCGTTGGGATCAGCGTTCGGAGTTCTAGTGGTGCTTTTGTGAGGAGAAACATTCAAGTGTCCCACCTTGATCAATCAGTCTAATAAAAACTAATAAATACACCTGAAAACACTTCTTACCTTGAGTTTCCCTTCGCATCATTAGAGTAATACAATTTAATGTTTTGATGTTATGATTTCGTGATTACAAATATTACAGCACATTATACAGATTTGTTTATTTTATTATTATTGAGAGGTACAATTTCAAAGTGTCAGTGTTCATTTTGGTATTTTCCATTCATTATTGTTATAGAAACCATGATGAATATCGAGTTGTATTGATTCAATGTGTGAATTTTACAGTTTTCTTTACAGTTTCAAATAGTTGTTGTTAACATTTATTTTACACAGGTTGAAAATTATTGCATCAGAAGAGAAAAACATGTTTTAGTGGACTAAAATCAGACTGAAACTAAAACAAAATGAATGACTAAATTGTGACTAAAATTAAGAAGAATTTTAGCTAAATTTAAATTTCTTGTCAAAATTAACAGTGCTTCAACCTTGTTTTTTTGTAGAGATAAAACAACGTTACAAAGCAAACTGGTCAGCAGTAGAGTCGCATTGCTGTTAGCCAATAAGAGGTGAGATGCTGGAATATCAGGAAATAAGACTCCAAATCCCGCCATGCCCCACTCAACTCTGATCTGGCTCGCTTCTACCTCCTGAAACAGGAGTGCAGAGCTTTTCCCCCACTCACAAGTTATTTGTACTAGAGACCACTGCAGATGCTCTACAAACATGAGTGAACCTGGTCTTTAACTCATTCGCTGCCAGCGTTTCTCACCGTTTTTACTGTTTTTTTAAGAGTCACAGAACGTTGCACGCTAGCATGATGTCGATGCCAAAACAACCAAAACAAAGCGTAGACTCGCCTCTTACATCAGGAAGAATCCGCGTGTTTCGAGCGTTATCCATTCTTTCATAATCAATTGTCGAATTGTGATCGGCAGACGCTTTTTCGGTTCGCGCCTCACTTTTTTTACAGGAACGGCCCAAAACGATCTCCAAGCACATGGATGTGTTGCGTCCTGATCATGTGATCTGTGATGTATGCGGATGAAGATCGGCTTCAGGGCTGAGATGTTTGTTCTCTCAGCACGGGGGCTCGTTCTGATGCTCAAACAGTAAAAAAAATGCCAATGACGACTAAAGTCGTCATTGGCAGTGAATGAGTTCATACAGAATACAAGTTAGACTAAACTCTTACCTGGGTCTGGACCCTCAGGTTCAGATCATCTGCTTGGTTGTTCACGAACAATGAGGCACTAGAAAGATTTGTTTTCTATTTGTTTTATTTTACAGCCACCAGATGAGCAGGTACATCATTTTAGAAAAGAAACTGATATTTGCAAAAAAAAATTATAATACAATTTTTTTTCAATATAGATTATGTATAAGATGAAATGCAGTAAACTGAAAAAGCATTCTGACTCTGTCAACAAGAAGACAAAGCAGTAAGGGGTCTTACATGAACCCAGCTCCCCAACCAATAAATATAAACTGTTTACATTATGTATGCTGCACTCAGCCAGGCTTGGACATTACCAGGGCAAGTAACTTCCCAAGAATATTCCTTTAATCGGTTCTTGTACATCGCTGTGACACACACACACACACACTCTCACACACACACACACACACACACACACACACATCCTCTCCCACCCACAAGAAGCTTGGCACACAAGTGCTTACGGGCCAGACACAAAATACACTTGGGCTACAACAATGGGCAATCTTAACACACACACACACACACACACACACACACACACACACACACACAAAGAAAGAAGAATCACACAAAGGGTGTATGAAAATACCTGTCATTGTCCTTGATCAAGAGGGAGAAGTGGCTGTCTGGTCAAAGCTCACTGCAGCTGGCAGAGTAGCTCTTGACATTTGGCCTGATTGAAACAGCCAATTTTCCAGAAAGCTGCCAAGCCGGAAAATCTCTTACAATCAAACAAATCTGGCTTTCCCCTTTTCGGTTTCTCCTGTTCTATCTCTTTCTCTCCACCGTTCCTCCCTCCCATGTTCCCTTCCTGTTTGTCCTAAGAGGAACAATGATTCGTCTTGTCTATTTTTCCCAGCGTCAAAGATAAAATGCACAAGAAAGCTTTAATCCACACTGCATTGGACAGACAATTGCACAACCACGGAACAAGCACAGGAAAAGACAACAGCAAAGTAAAGCTTGAGACCAGAATAGGGCGGGAAGGCTTGTGAAGAAGATGCTCGAAAGACTTGAAGGACACTGTAAACGCACCCCTTTGCAAACGTGTTACTTTGTTGTTGGATACCACTTTCTCAAGAAGCCCCCTCCTGATGCTTGGCTCAGGGAAGAATTATGACTTTGTGCCAATGAGCGAATACATGCACTTGCATAAATCATCCATCTTGTTTGGCGGTTAATTACTCTTGTTTACCCTCTGAGTAACCTCGGGATGGGGCGGCACGATAGGAGGGAGCCTGGGTGGAGGAGATAGCACAAAATAGTAATCTGCTGATGCTGTTCATCAGTGAGAAATTTGCGAGAATGAACGCACATGGTGGGCTTGAACGTGGGTGTTGGTGAATTAGACAAGGTTGCAGGGGTTCGGAAGATGGCTGCTCCATCAGCAACCAGGCCCAACTTCGGCAGCACGCTAAGCTGTTCTGGGGTCAGCTGGTGAAGGTGCTGAGCTGAGGCAGCCTGACTCGGGCCAATCAGACAGCTTCCCAGGATGTACAGCAGGCTCTGATCGTTGCTTATTTCATTATGGGGAAAGCTACATAAATCCACAAAACGAGGAGGGAGAGGCACAGAGGGAATATTTGCATTTCTCTTCTATCATCTGCTCTCAATGCCTTCCTACCTCCTCCAACGCCACCCTTTTTCATCCCTCCCCCGTTTAGTGCAGAGTGACTTTTATCATCACTTTCACCAAAACACATTAAGCCGGTGTGTCCGGGCTGAGGAGGGAGGGGAGGGGGTTGAAAAAACAGAGGAGCACATTAAATTTGCATTCGTGATGCATCAATCTGGCATTACTCTGGAGATTAAAGAAAGGACACTGCATTTCAGTGGAGAGATACTGACGGTTGCCTGATAGACGACTATCCACCTGTGCTGAACTAAGCAGGGAATACCTCTGATGACCAGAGAGCAGAGGAATCCCACTGACCCTGTGGATTTTCTTCATTCTACACTTTTCATTTTAGCTCATTCTTCAAAATGAATAACCCCCTCTGTCATCCTTAACCCCCCACTGCTTATCTTTGACATTCCAATCTAAGAGAAACTCCACATCTCGCAGCTGTTAGATCATGTTTTCAAGACAGGAACAGCACAGGTTTTGTGAGAGGGGATGATACTGAAAAAAGGATTGCATACATTAAACCTGAATTAGCACACGTGACTGTCTGGTATTTGTGTTACTGCATCTGTTGGACAAGATGGACGTAAAGTGCTTGAGAGCTCACAAAAATTAGAATGTGATTGGACGAGGAGACTAAAAACGGAAACAACAAAATTCACAGACTGTAAATGGGCATGGGGCAATGCTGCACTGAATTGATTAGGAGCAAATTTTATAGTGAGAACATGTGGAAGAAGAAATAAAAGTAAGATATGCACACGTAGGGAGTCCCAAGGGAAAAAAATGACAGTATGCCTCAGAGAAAAAGAATCACAGTCAGTCATTCCAAGGGTGCAGCCCACCAGCAGCCTAGCCCACTGAGTGAGCTGTATGGTCTATCCAAACCCTCAGGTCTGAGTTCACCCTGGCACCCAGCTCTGGTTGCTATGTACCGACGGAGGGCAAGCAAAAGACCCTAAACTCACTCCCATTCCCATGCCCACCCCTTGAGACAGAGAGCCATCAAAGTTGAAGTCCAAGTTGTCCGTGTCCATAAAGTCACTGAGCAGGATAGGGTCCACATCACAGTCTAGACTATTAGAAGCATTCTCCATTTCTAGTTGAGCAGCTATCCTGTTGTGAGAGTTGTGTTGTGGCCCCTGGTATCCAACGTTCCCTGACTGATGGTTGTTATGATGATAGTAACTTTGCCAGGAGTCAGTCAACGCCTGATGATGAGCTCCAGGGTAAGACTGGTGACGAGGGTGAGGTGCAGATGCCAGGCAGCAGGGATCCTGGGGAACATCCATGATTCCTGCAGGGTTTGGCGGCAAGGACGGAGATGTTGGGAGGTGGGGGCGCAGCCCAAAGTGGTTCGAGGTCTTGAGACTATAGGGCTGTAGGATGTCAGTGCTCACCCGTGGAGAGAGAGCCTGATGATGAGGCCCACTTTGCAAAGGATTCGTGTTGTGTGGCGTGTGGTTATGCAAGTGACTCTGACTAGAGTGAGGGGTGTGATCATGGCTAGGAGGGACTTTGTTTCTGTGATTATGCTCATGACTCTGACTATATTCATGGGCAGTGAGGGGCTTGTGACTGTATTCAAGACTGGCTTGGTGTTTGTGACCCTGATTGTGGCTCTGATGATGGGATGTGTTTTGCTCGTGGACTGAGCTATGCCCATTGCGTAGACTGGTATTGTGAGCATGCTCTTGGCTGTGATTGTGACCATGAGTCTGATTGTGACGGTGTTGGCTGTGAATGCTTTTTCCCTGTGTCAACAGTGTGTGTGTTTCCCGTCCCTGACCCAACACAGTGTCTTTGTTGCAGTATGAAGGACTTCCGGTCAGCAGACTCTGCAGGGCATTACTCTCTGAGTACGTCCTCACGGGATGCTGAAAGCTAACTGGCTTGTTCTCCTGAATGGTCTCCATAGGAGTGTGATGTCGTAACATTCCAATGGAAGACTGTCCATACATGGGTCCACAGTAGGACCCCTCTGTTTTGGGCCCAGGCACATAGGGATAACCATTGCATTTTATTTGCTGTTGCTGGGAGAAGCCATTCTCATCTAGACTAATCGCCCCCGTCAGGTCAGTGAGGTGAGGAAGTTCTACATTGGGGCAGTGGCCTCCAGTGCCCAAGGCTGGGGATCGGGTGCTGGTAGGGCTGGGGTAAAGTCGTGGAGAAGCTGAACAAGACAGTCCACCCTCCTCAGGTTCATCAGTGTCTGTCTCTGCTAGTATTGGAGACAGGCAGCTATTCAGCGTGGAGGCAGAGGACGAGTTGCGAGAATGCAGGTCTGTCCAGTTGTCATACTCTTCACCACTGATGCCTACACTTCCTTTGCCTGCCGGACTGCCATGCTCTGGGGAATCCTGCATTGGTGGACCAGCTCCCTGAGCTTGTCCCCTTCCAAGAACTATAGCCCCTGCTCTCTTTCGGCTAACGCGACCCTTAGTCTTCAGATAGTGTGTCCCATTTTCTATAGAGGTCGCACGTCTCCTTGGTCCCTTTCCCATCTTCCCTCCTTCTGGGTTTAGCATCCACCAGGAACTCTTCCCTGTTCCTTCATTCTGCACCCGGATGAAGCGGCTGTGCAGGGACAGGTTATGTCGAATTGAATTCTGGAGTAAAAGAAATAAAAGGGGAAGAAGAGAGAAACAGATTAGAAAAGGGACAACAGAAAAATAAATATTGTTCAAAGGGACATTTAGAATTAAATAACCATTTCTTGAGAACACAATCATTTCAAATGATTGCTAAATGATCAAGGCCTCATGGCAAGCGATAAAACAAATTGCAAAAGAAAAAGTGGGAGATGAAGGGGAGAGCAGAGAGGGCAGGGAGAGTGAAGGACCAATCAATACCTCCCTTGACCAGCCTCTCTTCTTTACACACATACTCACTGAGTCATAATATGGACATGGGTGCAGCCTCCACATCAACCCATCACCACGGTTACAGAGATGAATCACACAACACAAGCCAATCACAGACAGCCTATATCGATTGTGGGGTATCCAAAAATGAAGACCTGAGATCCAGCCAGAGCTTGGGAAGGAGTGAGGATGGGGAGGAGTGTGATTTGGCAGGAGAATCTCAGTAATACGTCTGGTTTAAAGATGATGGAGGAGAATACGATGGGGAGTGGTGTACTCGTTTGACCCTTCTAAAATCATAATACAATTAACGTGATCTTAGGCAACCCGCAGCGGATATCGTTCTTCGTTTTTGAAGACAGGATGGAAATGGTTGTGGGTAGGGGGTATTGAAGGCTTCAAGTGTCTGAGTTGATGAGATCCAAACCTGCTTAAAGGAGAGCTTAGCATGGATACACATCATAGATGCTGGCCAAGTTAGGCTAAGTGCAGTGTGTTCGTCCAAATCTTGCCCACTTGTGTCGTTATTCTTCTCGTTTTCCTATTCCCTCTTTCTGTTCCTATCTTTTTTTTGTGTGTTTTTCTCTTTTCTGATCTTTTGGCAGGAGCGACCCAAATCCTCTTGCATGTGAGTGCAATGGAACACTTTTTCTTTTTCCTCTCAGGAGATATCTATCTATTCAGCCTTGTTTATTACTTGCACATAGCTCACAATCTCTGTCTCCTGATATCTTGAGCCATTCTCTATCTTCATTCACTCTCCGCCTCCTGTCCAATTTTCCTGCTCTCAGCCCCATTCATCTCCCTCTCGGTGTCCCAGCCTCACCTGATCACGGCATTGCTCATTCTCTCCCTCTCCCTTCACATTCATACTCTCATCACCTTCCACAACTTCCACCCCCTCTCCTCGTTCATTCGTTCACACTGAAAGGAGAGCAAGTACAGCAGACAAACAGCAGGAAATTCAAATCCATGTTTAGTCAGAGGTGGATGGTTGGCGAGGGGCGGGGCGTGCGGTGGGGGTGGGGGGGTGATTTACATCCACACACTCAGCATCCAACTTCCAAACAGACACTCATACCTTCAATCTCATGAAGAGAAACTGGGCAGCCAGCTAAAAGGAGTGATTACACGCTGTTATTGAAGCTTATTATAAAAAGCATAGAAAACAGCACATAATGTGTTTGCTGCAAAATGTTGACAGGAGGAATTCAGCTCTAAGTGGGTTTCACATCACTCTTGTATCCTACCAACTACAATTTTCATTCATGCAGAAAAGCACCCATCCCCACAGCACGCCTCCCAACAGGTAATTTCATCCCATCCTCCTCTCAAATCATGCTGCTCTGACTAGATGCTCTTCACAAACGTGGAAATTGGATTCGAGATATGTATTTATGTTATTTTTTCTTCCTCTCTCTCCAAATACCAGGTCGGCAAAATTGCTCAAGCTCAGAGCTCGAACGAGCTGGGTGCACTCCAGAGAGGGAGAGCGGACTTAATCAAAGCCAAATTTAACAATGTTGCGTGTGAACGAGGTTGTCGGTGAAGGCGACCCGCATCAGGTGATCTGAGAGCCAAGCCCTGACAGGTTCCTCTACAACACGACAGCTCTGGCTGAGTGTAGCCATGGCAACAGAGTAAACCAAAAGAGGGAGAAGTGAAGAGAGGAGAGGTGATGATGGTTGGGAAGGAAGGGGGGGGGGGGGGGGTGTGCAGCTGATGCTGTTTGATGCTGCAGGCAACTCCAAACAGCCTTTTATCTGAGTCTGTCAGATTCCTGCTTCCAATCCACCAGGGAGGCTCAATCACCAGTCGTCCCAGCGCCTCACTACCTGTACCAAGCTGTGATTAGCAGCCGCCTGTGTGTGTGTGTGTGTGTGTGTGTGTGTGTGTGTGTGTGTGTGTGTGTGTGTGTGTGTGTGATAGTCTTGAGACGTTTTATTACTTTTTGGGGCCCTTGCTTACAGCTTTTGATGTTCCTCAATCCCTAGAATCTTGAACCCAATGTGGTTTACCTCATAGTAAATATACCGTAAATCCTCTAATACAGGCCCGGGCCTGTATTTGACTCAAGCTCATCAAGCTCCAGGCCTTTATTGGAAGGAGGGCCAGAATTAGAGGCAGGCCTCTATTTCTATTTGAGCAAAATGAACTAATGGTTCGCTGGAGGTTTTGACAATTAAAATTGCGCCCACATTTTCAAAGTTAAACACATTTCTTTTAACAACGGTAGTTTCTGCTTCAGCCCTCTCCCCCCTCCCCCTGCGCAGCGGCCGCAAACTCACTGATGCGCCTGCAGCCTCTCGGAGTTCCTGCTGCGCTAAACATTAAAATAATTATTTCATTTTCTGTTCCTCACTTCTGATTACCTTCAATGGTGTCTGTTTGTTGCAACCAGCAGGTACAAAAACTAACTTGTTTTTATTTGACTATTTTCAGATGTCTGGAGCGCGTCAACAATCAGAGCTTTGCATGCGCAAGCTGGTTAAGGTTAGGATGGGGGTGAGGGGAAGGTTAAATTGCAAGAGGGTAAACGTCACAATTTGGTTAAATGTCCGTTTTACGGCGAGTGTCAGTACCGACGCTCTGGCACAGCGCGTTGCCTCCCGGCGCGCAGGAGCTTGTCACCTGCTGACAGCAGGCTGCTGTCTTTTCCGAGGACTGCATCTTGCCAGTCATTATCACGTGACAGCTACTAGTCGATGACAGGCATAAAAAGTCAATATAGTGAAGTCGACTAGTTCATACAATCCCTGCTACTGCTCCCCAGAGTGTTCTGCAGCATAATCAACACGTTCTCTTTGAACTTGATATCAAATTTTCGCCTCCTCTTCGTCTCCGCACGGTTAAAGTTACCCTTGCGGTCTATCACTGGCAAATCAAAAGTGAGATGGATGACACAACCGCCCCCCGTACTTGCTTGTTACCACATTCCACCTGTCCACAATAAAAAAAACGGCCATTATTCACCTCCGCCGACTCCGACACTGGCCAAAATGTGATACTTGTCCGTTAATTGAGTACAGGCCAATATTAGAGGATTTACGGTAACTAATACTCATTTCTATCAATATAAATTTGCTTACAAAAAAAACTACTACATTCAAAAACTTTTCTTTTGTTTAGGTCGTTCCACGAATATTTTAATAACACTAATTGGAGATCAACATGTTGACTTTGTGAATACTAATAGTGAATTGTCACAGGAACAGGTGATTATGTAAGTCAATTGTACTTAAATGCAAGTTGCCATAACTAAAACAAACCAGTACTAAGTACTTAGAAATTTGCTTTCTGTTTACTGCTGCTTAAGTTTATACAACTCTGAAATACAGATTCTGTAAATTTCCAAGTGTTATGTGCTGGTTTGTTGTATTGTAATTTGCATTTAAGTGCATTATCCTTTGTAATTATCAGTAACTCCAAGACAGAATTATGCTGGCGAAGGTTCTCAGTCATCCAGGTCATGGTGATCCAAAGGGGTTCAAATGAAGGCAACCGAAACCAAAGATGTCCACTTGCCTTCATTTGAACCCCTCAGAAACACAGAATGACCTACTCCCATAACCTTATTAATTAAAGTGAAATCGGTTTCCATGCTTTTTTCAAGTAAGTTTAACTAATCAGATTTTACAGTGTGCTGAGAGTTCCACTCTTTCTGGTTGAATACAATAGTTTCTAATTGTCGGCACAGAGGAGCCACGAGTATCCAATGAATCATCTCCAAATTAGATAAAGAGAAATGACGCACTGGAGTTCTCTAATGCTGGAAAACTGATCAAGAAGAATCAGTTTAGGATATGGAGCTGATGAGACACCCAGACAACAGTTCAGAAGATAAAAATGAAAATAAATACCCCTGCTGTCAAACTAAATTAAAACTTATAATAGTGAAGGGTTGAGTGTTTTCTCTTCTCTCTACATTGTATTTATTTTTTATTTTTTTACTTTTTCAATAAATGGGTAATAAAGCGTTTTATCGATCTTTTAGAACAAAGTTTAGTCCCACAGATGGTTTCCAGTTTATTAAATATTCTGAGTCAAAGTCGATGCATTTCAAAATGGTTATAAAGTTTTCTTTTTAAATCAGATTGTTACATTTTTTATTAAAAAATGCATCTTGGAGGTTTTTGCTAACTAATAGCATTTTAATCAAATGCCTTAACCACCTGACTCCTTTTTTGATGCTGTGGCTTTAGTCTGAGCTGCACACCTCACTTCTATGACGGAGATCAGAAAACCTATGAAGGAAGCTCGTTGTTGTCCCTTTAACAATAAAGTATCTCGTCAAAGTGCCGGAAAGTTTCCGCGTGAATTCTACTTTTTTGGACACCGCACTCGGATATATTTCAAATTGATACTCGTGTTGCATCATTTTTGCTGCTTTTGTTTTATTAATAAGCGACAGGGTTTGATAGTCCACGTGATTTTTACAGGTATATTTTTAAATGTATTGAGTCAAACTTCTAATCACTTGGTGTTCTTGTGTGGAGCAGATATCTGGAGTTCAGTTAGTGTGAATGTCTGAACGCAGCATGGAAACAGGACCACATCCGTACTGCGTTCAGCATGAAACAGCCTTCAGTCCCAGTTAGGAGGAAACACTACATCTTTTCTCTGTTGAGAACCATAATGAGTCCAACCAACACAAACTTACACCCAGGCCCCCACCCTCACCTGGTTTCAGGTTTACGATGCACCTGTGAGGTGACCTCCTGTAACCTGTCCACCCAACACTCCCA